GTGCTTTTCCACCTTTGGACCATGATCTTCTATTTTTTGCATAATTTAACTTAATCTTCATCATATCAGCTATGCATGCAATCAGTATTTTAGCTCCCCAAGCTTTTGTAACCTCTCATGTGACCCAGACAGGTCCAAAATGCAGCTGCTGGGAATCCAGTGAAGTCTCTTGCTCTTCTTATGCTTTATGTTTTTAAGCTGAACGTGTACCAAAACTACCTTGTGATAAGCAGAAAGCTGAGCTCAACAATGAGGCTTTTTCAAATTGAGAAATATTGCAACTGGAATAACAGGAAATTTCAGGCTGCTAAAATTAGTTTGTGTGAATAATGACTTCTCATGCAAAACAGGTTTTGATAAAAACTCCACTGGTGCAGCCTCTGCAATCTGGCTGTCATTAACGAGAAGCATTAGAGACTGGCACTGAAACAAAGGTATTCTTTCCTAAGACATCCTTCACCTTGCATATCACAGAAACAAATATTTGTCTAGAGCGTCGGTGTCCCAGAAACAGTTTGTTCTTCCAGTGTCATAAACTGAAGGCTCTCATGTGAGACTGAGCTTGCATCTGGAGGCACTCAAACCACTTGCAGTAATAATAGCTCAAAGCATCTTTAATTTATGCCTGGCTTCTGTGTTGGATTCCCCTGAGTTTCCACCTTCTGAAATGACAACAGTCTGTTCAGAGTGGCTGTGAGGATTTGTGGGAGAGGTGGGGAGGTGATGCAGGATGATGTGCTTGGATTGCCCTGTGCATAAATACGTCTCCGACTGGTTTGGGCATGTGCAAGTAGCTCCAGCCGTGCTGACTGTGGAGCTGGAAATGGCATATCCAGGTGGGTGTGGTGATATATTGGAATTAATAACTCCTGCTCAGGGCAGGATTAACTACCAGCATTGCACCAGGGTGGCTATGCTGCTGGTGCTTGTGGCATCTCAGCGCCATGCTGCACTCTGAGCATGCTGGCTCTGCTGCCTCTGGTGGTGTGGCACTGCTGAGACAGCAAACCTAGATGTTAAACCTGTGCCCATCACTGGTGATATCAGACACCCCAGCAGGGCTACTTCCTTCCAGCTTAGGGAAGGACCCCTCTTCCTCTCTGTCGTTACTGTACCCCTGACATCCACTTTCTTACAAGGCCACATCTGCAGTTTCTGGCTATTACTGGAAGCAAGGATGAGACCCAGTTCAAGATTAGGACACGTAAGATGTGGGCTGGGTTTCTAAGCTCTCATTGTAGTCAGTAGAGATGGAGTCAACAGAGACTGGAGAGTGATGCAAATGTACCATAAAGCAGATGAAGGCAGGGGGCTGAGTACAGAGCAGGATGTGATCCAGTAGCCTCAGCATGGGCATCTGGTGCTATTCAACACAGTCCATGGTCTCCTGCTTAGCCTCCATCTGCCGCTCCAGAAGGAAGGTCTCCGCAGTGCGTTACACTTGCCAAATCCACGTGGCTGTCCCGGACCCCCCAACATGGCACTAAAAGCATAAGTTTAGGCAACTGAATGGCACATCCCAGTGAAATGACTGCTTGCATCGTCCCAGGCTGGGTTGAGGTGCCCACACGTAGAGCCCAGTGCCACTGGAGAAGCAGTTGAGTGCACAGGACCCCCGTCCCCAGCTGGCAGGTACGCCATGGGGCTATGGGGGCTGGACCATCCTGCAGCCACAGTTAGAGTCCAGGTGGGACACTGTATGTGACTGAAACAGCACTAAGCACCTATGTTAGGGTAACCAAAGTGAGCCCTGGAGTGCCGCTGACTGTAACAGGAGCTGAAGGATGTAGCTCACATGCAGAAATATTCAAGGAGGTGGTTTGATCTCAGACCCAATCCCATCCAAGCAGTAACAGTCTGGCAAACACATTACCATGCTCCTTCTACATCAATGGATTATTGCCATTCATTTTGACTGTACATAATACAAATCAAGTCCTTTATTACATAAAGCACAGAAACCCTGAAAAGGTTTCCTTGTCCTGCAAACAGGAATTCACAGGGACTTGTTCTTACTAAACTGATTTAAGGCTTCAGGGTTGGGAATTCCCCATACAGCAAATGGGAAATTTAGATTTGAGGAGTGTGCATGCCTTGCTTGACAAGCCCAGCACAAGCTGATTTGGAAAACAGAGCAGGAAACGACTGAGCTGAACCTTGCAGAAAGAGCAGCCTTGCTTAGGAAGGGGGAAGGATTTTGGATGAGATCGAAACCTTCCACCTATCGAAGATGTGTTCATAAACTGGGTGTAGAGGACACATTACTTAGCACTGTCTCACCCGTATTCCTCAGCAAGACACATAAAAGCAACAAGTGAAATAACAACAGGTCTGCCAGCAAAAAAGACCTTTGGTGCATGAGCCATGGTTGAATGGGACTGAAAACTTGGAGGAAAGCAGAGCCAAGTTTATCTCCAGGCAACCAGGATGCAACAGTTCACAGCCCTCCTGTGGGCCACCAGATGGACACACATTTTCATGGTGGATATTTGACAATAAACTGAACCTAGGCAGCGGTCGAGCCTGGAAGTGAGGCAGCGTACCGCTGTCTTCCACCTGCATCCTCCTTCTTCTCTCTCTCTGAAGCTGGTACTCAGCAAAGTACTACAAAAGCAACAGAAGAGACTCTACCTGACTGTCGTGCCATGGCTGGCAAGGACTGAAAACGTCAAAAAAGCCAATCCCTAGGCCTTCCATGCTCAGGTTTGCTTGTGGAAGATGGTAAGTTTGGGTCAGCACACACCATCCCCATCTAAAAGAGCACTAGGGAGTGATGTGTGAAGCAGCCTCCAAGGTATTTTGGCATGTCTGCTGTCTTCCTCACTGCTGTAGCATGTCCTGCTGGGCTTTGCCACAAAGTCAGAATCAGCACTGTTGATTTTTGCTTTGTTATGCAAAAGCTTTTTGCATCCTGCTATTGATGGTTGCTCCAAGATAAATCCATCCCCCTGCAAAGTTGTGTACTCAACGAGTTTTGAAATACTCATGTAGATTGGAAAGCCAGTCATAAAGCTGATGGTTTTTAGGCAGGACTTTATTTTAAATAAATGAACGTACATGCAAATAAATAAAGCCCTCCTATACTATCTTAATATAAAAAAGCTATTTTGGGTAGCATATCACTTATGCTCAAGACTAAATGAAAATGTAAAGAATTAACATTGCACAGCAATGAGGTTTGTCCTGGCAAAAAGAGTTCTACTACACCATCAAAAAGTTATTCATGTTGACAAGCCATGAAATGTTTGCATAAGGAGAAAGGGAACAAAGTAGGAATGCTTTAATGCTGTGCCTCACTGGAGCTGCTTTTTCCTTCAGTCTTGTATAACTGTGACAGTTGTGTAAAAGAGAAAAATAAAAAAAAAGGGAAAGCACTGGTAATGCTGGTATGAAAAGACATTTGTTTCTGCAGCAGTCAACAGCTACACAGCAGCTCTGTGCTCTCTTGCACAAAAGGAACAGGCTTGTTGTGCTCTGCGTGGTCACCCTGGGCCAGCCCATGGCAAAAGCCTGACCTCTTCTTGAAGATCTACATGAATAGCTCCTGCTTCAAAGTCTGCTAGGCTGTGCAGATGTAACCTACGCAATTGTCATTTCAATGACGTGCATGGACTCACAGACCAGAGCCCTGAGCACAGACCACCCCATCAAGACAGGCCCCTAAGCTAGAGGGAGTCTTCCTACAGGTTCACAGACAACAAGTTCTGCATTTCCTTCTCAATCCAAATATTAGCAGTGATTTCATATGCTCATGCACACAGAGCTGGATTCAGATGATGGTGCCTAGAAATGTCATGGGTGCCCTTCTCTGGACAGCACTAACAACCCCTGGCACCAGGGCATCCCTGTGACCACAGTGGCCAGGACACCTCTCCAATCCTTCCAAGTGTTGTCGCTGGGACAGGAGTTGGCTTACCTACTTCCATGGCTCAAGCACTGAAGGTACACCCGCATCTAGAGTACTGGCTGCCCCTTTCATGGAGACAAGTCTGGATATAAGAAAAAACCTTTTCCCCATGAGGACAGTCAAGCAGTGGAACAGGTTGCCCACAGACCTTTTGCAGTCTGTCTTCGGAGGATTTCAAGACCCAACTGGATAAAGCCCTAGGCAACCTAGTCTGACCTCAGGGACAGGACTTCCTGAGGTTCCTTCTAATCTAAATTATCCTATTAAGCCTTTGTGAAGAAGGGTGGCAGATACTGAATGAGGACAGGCACTAAACCTCCATAAACGTATGAGTTCTGAGATCTATCCACCACTTTGGAGAATGCATAAAAATCCTGGTCCTGTAGCTTTCTCAAGCAACCAATCCCCACTCCCTTGAGCAGTAATTAGCCCCATTAGAGGAGCAAATCTCAGCCAAGAATGCAGAGGCTTAATGGCTTGATCGAAGAGTGGCAGAACTGACAGGGCACAAATTAGCTCACCCTCTCCTATGGGACCTGATGGTTCGATGTGTTAAGGAAAATGATCCCTCATTTTCAGTAAAAATCGCAATACTTTGTATTATGTTTTGGTGAGAATATTCACTGCAGTACACAAAAAGCTTTTCCCCCCTTATCTCCCTCTGTGCCCTCCCCTGGGAACAAAAAGCCATTACGGTGACGCTTTGACAGAGGTCGCCCTTCAGGATACACCTGTGGGCCCGATGCTGTGCTCTGTGGACATGGCCAAATTTGTTTCTTGTCAAAGCTAACCTGAGCAGGGGAGGGAATAGCTTCACTAACATCACAACCTGGACAAGTCCATACTATTGCACACAGTGTAGTTCAGGCAGGAGCAAGGATTTTTGCTTTTGAAGGGTCCTGGTTCGTTTCCTACCACTTCTGCCCAAATTTCAGCCTTTATGTAACTGGCAGGTGTCCAGGGTTCATGTGATCCTGGGTCACAAGTGTCAGAGATGAATTTTCTTGGACCAGACGAAGTGGGTAACTACATGATGGGAGAGCATGTTGCATGAAATCCCAACTCTGTGATTGAAAACCCAACAGATACTCACAGGATGTATGCGATGACCCCAATGGACCAGCAGTCCACGGCTTTGCTGTAGGGTTTCTGGGCCAGCACTTCAGGAGCTGAAAATGAAAAGCCAAATGAGCACACATTACAAGACCAAACATTTGAATGTGGCCAAGAGGTAGGACCCTGAAACTTGAAGCTCCCTGAGACCTTGTGTTGCCCTCCACATACAGCCCTTGCATTTGCGAATATCCTGATGTTTTTGAAGCTCACATTCTCACAAAGAAGGATGACTCCTAAAGTGGAGCAAAATCCCTATTTTCTGGCTCCAAGGACAGAAAACAAAACCAAGCGCAGAAAAATGTGTGAGAGGCAGAGGACCATCACCTCTCTGTCAAAGGAACTTTAGGAGACTTGGAGGAAAACGAGGCCAAGCTTTGCACCGGTGCTGAGATGCACATTCACCCTGACAGCCTTGCAGCTCCACCGCATCGTGCTGCCAAACTGGGGATTTCAAGAGGCAACTCAGAAAGTGCAGCGTGTCAGGGAGGTGATAAGTCACATCTGCAGGAGAGGAAGGAGAGCTGTCACTATATCTCCCAACAGCTGCCTTCCAAAGCCTGCTGGATGTCAGTCGGAGGGAGTCATTTGTCCTTCTGCCTCTGGGAACACAGACAACTCAGAGGGAGAAATGAAAAATAGCAGGAATTGGACACATGCAGAAAGGAACTGAGCCTTCTGCCTCTATAGCTTTCAGCCACCATAGCCTGAATTTTGCTAGAAGTGAGAGCCTGGGCATTTATTGAAACTCTTTGTGGGTCTGCTTTCCTTTCTTACACCAGTGAGAGTTAAAAAGGTGCATTTTTTGTTTGGGAGCCTGGTGTATTATATTTTCCCTGTTGGGAACTTTCAGTACAAATGCTTAAACCTAAATTTTAAAACTCTGTGACTAATCTTTTTCATGTAAAGAAGCTTTTGCTTTTTTCAAAGCAAAATGTCCACAATAATGCAAGAAATCATTGTTTGTGGCACTCCTAAAGCAGACTTGCCACACTGGGTTTTAAAAAGCACAGTATTTCCTTTGAGTACTTTGGAGTTCGAACGCTGCAAAAGAATCATGAAGGGGCAAGTTCCAGCAAAAATATTTCTTTGGGGTTACACCTTCCTCTGCTAGGAGTCCTACCAACATCAGTTAGTTACTTGAAGAATAGCGAAAAATTTGTGAAGCACATAAATCTATTAAAACGAGCCTCACATTTAGTTGCTACATATGCTTTGGTGTACTGGTAAGGACTCTTCAAAGAGTTAGCTTCTTAAGCTAGACAAGTCAACAAAACTAAGGTCAAAATTGCCAGAAAGGAAGGGAACAGAAAGCAATAATGAGAAACAGAAAAGACTTTCTGGTGCTTGGGCATGAGAGCTTATAGTAGGGATTGAAGGGAAGACAGTGCACGAGGCAGATGAGGGCATCCACGTTGCATTTCCAGAAGCAGCAGAATGATGGAAAGGGTCAAGTCACACTGGGGAGACGTTGTAAAAAGGAAGAAAATCCAGGGGAACGTGGGAAAAGTATAGCTGGCAGCCAGGTTATGAATACTCTTGAAGATTGGGATATGCCCCAATCTGCAGCACAGGGTAAATATTACCCCAATCTTCAAGTCATCCAGCAAACTGGGACCACTGCATGTATAAGAAATTAAAATGATAGTTCTGTCCATCTATTGTTATTCCTAATACACTGTTGTAATGTGTGAATACTCCAACACCTATCCACTATGTGCCAAAGGAGGTTTCTTTCCACTGTACCTAGCATGAACGGCTCCCAACTTGGCCCCAGCTGCTTGGCAGAAACCTGCACCCCAATTCCCGAGACTACACCCACACTGCTGTAGTCTATCAAGATAAAGGTTAAAATCTTCTTACTACAATAGGGGACAGAGGTGTGGAAATATAAAAGGCATCTTCAGTTGGTGCCCAAAAGGTAACTCCTTTCCCAACGGCTAAGTCAGGGTGTGTGTGTCAGGTTGGTGCTAGACAGTCCAGCGGGGGTGAATTTGAAGAAGAACTCGGGATAAAAGAATAAAGCACTGGATAGCCATCCTATTTGGCCTGCCAATGCCTCCCAGATCACCTGGTGAGTTTGCAGAGTCTGGCAAATTTACATTTTTCTTGTATAAAACAGTTGCACCTCAAAGTTGCTCAAGACAACCTTCCCAGACAACCCTTGTGTCCCCTAACCTGACTCTTTCTTTCCTGATTCATCAAAACTTGCCTCCAAGTTTTCCTCTAAAAAGAATCTTTTTTCAAAATATGCATCAAATAGGGTTTGTGAGACTCCGTTTCCTTTTTTGTCCCATCTCTTGTGACTAAATTTTGTGACAAATTATGCTGAAGAAGGGAGTTCATTTTCCCTTGTCCTTAGGTGATTAGATGTCTTCCAACTCTCCAGTCCTTCCAAATTCCCAATATTTTGTTCGCATATCCCTTCTACCTTTGACTGTCTGCTCCTGTTTGCATCATTTTCAAGACTGGTAAACATTATACATCTTATATCCCCCAAAGAAAATATTATGCAAATGGCTCCTGAGCACCACAGATCCTAGTGAGCTCCTGACATTATACAGATATGCCACATTAACATAACAGAAAACAAATCTGAGGCAAGGGAATGTGAACTATATAAAGATTCTCCCTGTTAAAACATCAAAGCTGTGCTGGGGCACTTCTCTCCGTTTTAAAGCAGTGAGGAGCACTGATAACAGACAGTTGCTGCTGCAGATGGTGGCTGTGAAGCAGGTAAGAAGACCGCAGAATCAAGCCCAAAGCAAATGTAAGGCTGTTACCTCCCCTTTGGTAAACTTTAATGAAGAAAGGCAGGAGGTTTAAATAATTATTTTAAAGCCAAATGGCTGCTTTTGGGTTTTGTTCCAAAGAGCAGACATGCAACAAGAGCAGGAGAATATAGCTAAGCATCATCTGTCTCTGACATATGGAAAAGACGGAAATATTTAATGAGCTGAAAAACAAGTCAGAGGAGCTCTCAGAAATGACAGCAGATCAGTGCCAAGAGGCAAAAGCAGGAGACGCAATGAAAAAAATCCAAGAGCTGACGGCATTAAAGGATCAACACAGACGACTGAGGAGACAAAACAGCAATAAGGAGAATGGGAAAATCAAAGCTCCCATTTCTGGCACTGGGGAAATGCCAGCTGAGCTTCCAGTATCGCACCTCCCCAGGGAATCATTGTGGGCTCAAATGCTATGCAGCAGTCATCCAGAGATGGGGAAGTCAACAAAGCAAACCTGGACCTTTCCCCAGTATATTGCCCTGTGGGTGCTTCACATCCAGGAACGGTGTTTCAGGCCAAATCAGCATTGCTACCAGCAACATGTCATAGAATCATAGAATAGTTTGGGTTGGAAGGGACCTCTAAAGGT